TAGAGTTGAGGGCATCCTCGGAGAGAGGGGAAAGACCTTAACTAAGGTCACACCTCCAGATGTACACCTGCACAGTCACAAATGTTCACGTAGCTTCCAGGGCAGCTGCCTTGGCCAGCTATAAGGACAGGAAACCCTGGGGCCAGACTTCCGGAACACGCCCACCCACCAAGCCCCTCCCTCTGGAATAGTCACTCACCCCAGCTCCAAAGTTGTAGGAACCTGCAGTCTAGCGGGTCTGCACAATCTGTGAGCACAGGCTCCAGTTCAGCAGCCTGTTCAGAAAGCAGAGAGAGCCGGAGGGACTAGCACAGAGGCCGCAGCTCCAGATGCCAGATGACCGCAACACATTCCCTCCACACGGGAGCCTCTACTCCTCTACCCTTCTAGGGCCTGGGCAAGATTCCTAGATGTCTGTGAGTAGAAAGAATGCTGTCTGCACCCTCACCCCCTAGCCAGAAGTTCAAAAAGGGATCCACACTGTGTGCATGGACCAGAAGACATTTCCTTGTGGCCTCAGAACCTAACCGAAAAACAGCCTTTGGGGGCTGAGGGTAGGAAGAAGAAAAGACAAATATGTCATTCCCTCGCCAAGCCTAGGATTCCCCACCATCTCTGTCAGGGCCATCCTGGAGCACGGCTGGATTCCAAGCCCTCTTCTCTGTTCCTGAGGGCTAAGAAGTTCCGCTTAATAGCTGACTTTAAGACTTGTGACCTCAGGGGGGCGCAGGGAAACATTAAGGGTCACTTCCAGCTGCGCCCACCCTCTGCCACTGCCTGGTGCTCTGGGGACTACAGTCCGGTCTCCTTCCTGGTGATCAGCAGGTTCCGGCATGGTGCAGACCCTCCTTCAGCGGCTCAGCACTTACACCGTAGTTGGCAAGTCTAGAACCACCGGGTCCCATTATCTTACCGGTGTGAGTTCTACCATTGCCAAAAACGGTGAGAGGCCTCCGGCAGCCAGACCAATGAGCCTCTGCTGAAGAATCAGTGTGGTTTGAGGTGAGCGCTCTTCCCCACAGTTAAGACAAAAAGTTCAGATGATGGTCCTTCAGCCTGTATGGCCCTGTTCCAGTGTAGAAACCCTCTTGATCCCTCTCCCCCAGCAATCTCATTCCCCCTTGAGACCCACAGTAGGGGCATTGGGCAGTGACAGAGCCATAGTCACTGCTCTGAAAGAGACTGCACCCCAGGCACCTGACAGCAGGAGCTTGGGAAAGGGTGCACTTTAGGTCAGGGAGTCCCCTGCTTGGTAACCAAGGAAGACAGTTGCAGGGAGCCAATTTTGCCTTCTACCAAGTGCCCCAGGTGGCATCCTGTTTAATCCCTTCCTGACATTCCCCAGAGCCTAAAGTTCCCCAGCTGTCCCACCCCACCAGGAGGGAGGTAAAAAGTCAATGCATATATCCCATTTGTCAAGCCGCGGGCAAACCGCTGCCAAGCCTGTGGCCTCCTCCCTGAGGCTGGAGAGGAAGAACACCTAGGCTAGGACTTTCTCTGCAGAGTACAGACAGCCATCACTGCAGTCCAGCAGGGTCAGCCAAGCCAAACACAGTTGCATAGCTGTGCATTCTCCCCCAAGTGCAGAGATCTCCTTACCCATCCCTTCCAAAGGAAAAAAAAAAAAAAAAAAAAAAAACCCTCACATACCCCTGAAGCCTTCGAGGAACCCCCAAAGACAGTACACTTCTTTGCCCCCAAACCACCCATGGATTCATTTCCAACAATCTAGGGGAGCTGCTGGCTCGCAGGGCCAGTGACGGAAATGCCACCATCCCCTCTGTCCTCCCAGTTCTGCAAAGTGGACGAAAGATTCAAAGATGACGCTTTGGAAGGACAGAGCTGCAGACAAACCCTGGATGCTGAGGCTGGGCACTGCCAGTGAGTGGCCTAGGCTTGGGTCCTCAGACGACTCCACTGCCCAGAAAAACATTTGCTTTATAGCCGGGTCAGAGTTGTGGGCCACACCTGTGATCCCATACTGAATTCAAGGGCTTGGGTGATCTGCTTGGCAAGGAAGGTCCTTGAAACCTTGACCTAGAGTCCCCTTTGGGGACACAAGGAGGACCTTGGTTTCTTGGCCATGTACCTCCCAAAGGCAGGCCATTTTTTTTTTTTATCACATTATAAAGCGTTAAAGAAAGCCACCTGTGGGTCGAGTGGGTCACTCCCTCCACTCCAGTGTGAGTGAGGAGGGGCCTATCCTGTCACTACCACGGACTGCTCAATCTTGCCGCCCGCCCCCCAGTATCCAGGCTGAGAGCGAGCAGCCCCCGCCTGCCTGAGATCAATGGAGCCAGATCGCATTTCCAAGAGCCTGAGGACGACTGAGCTGGGGCTGAGCTGGGGCAGGGACCCGGATAATGGCCCGGATTGAATAAGCAAATGCAGGGGTGGGGGAAGGGCAAAAGTCTGGAATAGTCCACTGCACAGGAACTCTGGGGAGCCTCCAACCCAGGCAGCCCCAACACTAGGCAACAAGGCAAGGAGCCTACCCAGGAGGCAGCAACTCAGGCACCTAGGAGCCACTGTGCCCGAGAAATACAAGGCCGGAAGGTCCCCAGGTGGATTAAACCTCACCAACTGCCCTGGTGTCCACTGAGAGGTTAAGGGTAAATCCTTCCGAGGGATCAGACAGCCAGGAAGAAACCGGCCCTGCCTGACAGAGTGAGTCCTCCCCTCCTTCCGTGCCCTCACCAGCATGTCCTCTGGAAGCTGATTTTCTGGGGAGTCCAACCAGCCTTGTGGCCTTGCTCACTGGCAGTCACTACTATAGGTGAACTTTCACCCAGGCCTAGAACAGGCTAGATGAGGAGAACCAGAAAGCTAAAGCCAGTGGTCATCCTCTGGGAATGCAGGCTACAGAGAGGTGGAGCCCTGAGCCTGGAAAGAAGTATACAACTGGCCACACCAACGCCTGCTCATCAAAGCCTCTACCAGGACCAGTGTGAGGGGCCAGACCACTAAGGGTCTGAGAACTGCTTTGGTTAGAGGGATCCAGCTATGAGTGGTGGGCTGGAAGGAGCAAAGTTAGAGAGTTACAGCCTTAGATAGGAATTAAACCAGTTGTAGCCAGAAGCCCCAGAGACTGGGACCAGGCCCTATAGAGGCAAGACCTGAAACAGACCTCTCACCAGGGCGGGGCAGAGCTGTGAGGTCTCTTCCTATCCTTCCTTTCCCCTCAGGTGCCCAGATGGCCTTCAGCACAGGGACACTAGCACCATACCCCAGAGATTTGTAGGAGTCTCCGTTTGGCAGTGGTAGGTATAAATGTCCTCACTACCCGACACAATCCTCAGGGTACTCAAGCAGGCAACCCGGATGCTCAGCCACGTTCCCGATGAGCAGCCAACTGGATTGGTTGATTTCTAACTTCCAGACTCAACTCCACACATCCTGCTGGCCTGGCCCCAGCCCTCTCTAGCTAGGCCACCTAAAAGGACTCACTAATTGGACTGAGTAACCCTTGCATGAGGTTCCTCTTCCCCAGGGAGAAACAGCCTCATTAGGGGCTGGCCCAGTGACTTCAGATATGATGGCTACCAGATGGTCAGTGGACCAGGTTGGCCAGCTCAGCTTTCTCTGCTAACCAGGGCTTCACCCGAGAGCCTGCCTGGTGGGCTCATCTAAGCCTTATGGACCCGGTCCAGATCTTCTTCATCTTGAAGACCAGGGATGTCTAAAGGGTCAGAGCCAAGATTCACCCAGCCCTGGGGGATGAAAGCAATCTCCAGAGAGCAAGGCCTCTGGTGGTCAACACCTTGTGGTGACTGAAGAGAGGTATTGACCCTAGTTCACTACCCATGGACCTCCAGCCTGCCTCTTCCCAAGGCCTCTTTCTCCATCTGTAAGATGACTCTTGACAAACTGCACACGCCATCCAGCTGTTAGAGAGCAGAATTTACACATACAACCTTACCTATGTATCATCAGTTTAGGGCCAGTAAGTCACAGGGACTCCAAGGACACAGGAAACCAACACTGGTGTTTGGATGTAAAAGGCCACAACTGACCCTTCCAGAACACTCCTAGTACTCTAATGCCAAACCAAACTAGTACCCCTCTCATCACTGACCAGAGGTAAGCCACTCAATGGTAGGCTCTAGGGACAGCCGGCCTCATAAAACACTCATGCTGAGCACAGGATATCCCATTGTTTGGAATTGCTTTCTTGGAATCCTGTAGCCAAAGGCTAGACCCCATTCTGCTAGAAGAGGTCCACCTCAAGGAGGAGGAGCCAAGCAGGGCATTTCTTACTCGTGGCTTCACCAAAGCAGGCCCTACAGATGGTGACCCCCCCCCCCCACCCCAAGCAACTCCATCTGTTGGCCCAGCTCAGATTGCCCAGCTCCGACTCCACTCTGGCCTCAGGCAGTGTAAGGTGATCTGGCTGTTCACCAGGGTAGGACTATACCCTCACCCAACAGTAAGCCAGATGGGCCAGGGAACCAGTGAGACACATGGACCCTGGGACGCAGGGGGAGGTGAACGTGGCCGCAGCAGCCCGCTTTTCCCATATTGGCACTGCACACGATTGCTCAGAGCGGAGAGACACAAGCAAAAATGTGCTAGTGCCAAAATCGGCCAAGCAGATGGTTCTGGAACAGGCCCTCTGGGGACAGAGTAGAGGAGGTCTTTGTACCCCAGCACCCCTGCTAAGAGCCAGGTCCAGGCAGAGGGGTGAGGAGCTCCGAGGCACTCGCGGATCTGTCTCTGCTCTGTTTATGGCCCTTCGGTAATTCACTGACCGAGACTGTTCACAGTGAATTCTACCAGTGCCATACACAGGACAGGAGTCACTCTCCAGCCTGCAGACCCTGCAGGGATGTCAGCTGCCCTCTCCTGGAGGGCTCCGAGCCTCCATACCCAGAAGGACTCCTGGAGGTCCTACAACCTCCTCCCCCCTCCACTGCTGTCATCCCCAGCTTAGCCACCCTCCTCGCCAGCTCCTTGTTTCGTACCAGCCCAAAGTGACCTTCAAGAAGACAAGGACAAGAGAGGAGAAAGACTGATGTCTTAGGTTTGCAGAGGTCAGCAGAGTCTTCCATCTCATCCCAAAGACTCTCATCCCAAAACCATCGCCCAAACAAGCCACCTTTTTGCCAAGGTCAGCAAGCAGCTGTCAGGTCCTCATGACCTATCGTGCTGGGCCTCACCTACTCCCAAATGCCAGTGTCAAGAACATCCAATGTGCTTCTCATGGCCTCTTAGCACAGAGGCCAGCAGTCCCAGCTTGCCCTGTGACACAGCAGAGGCCCAGAAGGCAGGACTGCAAAGTGTCCCCCGATGGGCACCTTTGCTGCTTGACCTGGGCCAGGATCAGGGCAGGAGTCTCCTTCAGACAAGGGAACAGCTTGGAAGGAACTGGAGCGAACTGTCTCTGGCAAGAGCCTGTGGAAGTGGCTTCTGGAAGGCTCTGAGAGTACTTTGGAGGAAGGTAGAGGCTATGGAGGCAAGGGAGGGCTGGGGCGGTTGCGTCAGTGGTTGCCACAGTGGCTGCCACGGGAGAAGGCAGGATGGAGGCCCTTGCCTCTAGTGCCAGGTGCCCTGGGGATGAAGGAGAGAGGGAGGGTAAGTCTCTCTGGAGCTAGTGCCCAGGGCATGAGAGCTGGAGACAATGTAGAAGAGCCAACACAGGCTCAGCCTGCCCTTAGTCCAGCCTGGAACCCTCAGGGAGAGGTAGAGGGGAAGGGGAAAAACACTGGAAGGGGTCAGATAGTTCTCCATCTCAGAAACCTCATAAGCTTTTACTCCAGGCTAGCCCCTCCATAAACCCTCAGTCCTGGGCTTGATAACATACTTGTGGGGCTTTGACAGAAAACTTACTATTAGTACACTCCCAAAGGCCATTTCATCCTGATAAAATGGTAATCTGGAGAAGTCACTCCCTGGCCTGTGGCCTCAGTTTCTCCCACTGTAATCCTCTGAATCTAGGGGTTTGCGCATGAGACTATGGGTCAAGCGGAAGTGAACAGCTATAGTTACTAGTGTGGTCTATGTTGTTTGGAGGGTCTCTGTCAGAATCAGAATCACCAAGGAGCCCCCTAAAATGTACACTGGTGGCCCACATGGAAATCTACAGTTTAATATGAACACGGGGGATGTGAAGCTGGAAGGAGAAGCTATTTAGAATTGTATTTGGAACTCCTTTCCTAAAAACTCAGGATATTTAGGAAACGATATCCTAAATTCTTTTTTTTTTTTTCTCATTTCTAAGGAACAGAGGAGTAACACTAGGGGAAGAGCCTTGAAAGATTGAAGACACACTCAGGTACCAGTATCCTCCTGAGAACGTGGGTCTGGAGCACCCAGGAAGGAATGAAGCACCATAAGGAAGAGAATAGCCCTGTCAGACCAAGTGCTCGGCTTGCCCACCCTTCTGACTACATCTTCCTCTTCTGTAACTGAAGGGGGTGGAGAGCAGGGAAGAGCTACAGAGCCAAATACCCCATTCGGATCCAGCTGTAATCAGCTGAGGCTCCTCCCAGCGCTCCCTTGCCCCTCCTAATTCAAATGCAGCAGGAGATAATGCTGCAGTACCCAGGCAGGGCCACACCCATGTCCACAGCCAGAGTCCACCCAACAAACAGCTGAGCAGTAATCCCTAGACCTTAGTAGAAGCAGAACCTGGCCTGGATCAGAGGAAATAGGATCTCCTGAAATGGGGTTTGTGGAGTTCTGCAAAAGCATCCCTGGTACTCCACAAAGGGGAACCATGCTGGTGCTTTGGCAGGACCTGGAGAACAGTCTCTTTTGCTGTTCCTGTAGGTCAGAACCCTGACCTTGAGATTAAAAACTAAGAAATTCCTCTTCTGACCGTGAGAAGGGGTTGCCTCCCAGCCTGGTAGGTGAACAATTAAAGAGCATCATAGCTGGTATATTAGGGTACTGGCAGGGGGACAGGATGTCCTCCTGGGTGAGTGTGTATCCTCCATCCTCTGCAAGGTCTCCCTCCCCTAGCTCTACTCCCTAACTTAGGCTGGTCTCCTGAACTCTTTTTGGGTACACTTCGAAGAATCATCCCTCCTTTTGCGGGGGAGGGTGTCTTTCCTTGGGCACTTGCCAGACCTGTATGTGCCTCTTCCCTCCCCATTCTCTGTACCAGAGCTCCCTAGAGGTGAGTGGTTTGGGTGGAGTCTTTAGGGATCTTTTGCTACCATTCAGCCCTGGAACTTAGCTGGTCCTATCAACCTCTGTACAACGAATCTAGTGTCTCTGTTGCGAACCCTCCCACCAGCGATCGGCCCAGCACGGATCATTTAAATCTCCATCGAATGCCGCAAAGGCTGCGACAGTCAGTTTCTCCACTCGCTCAGGGCGTGGCCCAACCTCCTGGTTGGCTAATGAGATCTTAGGAGCCCCTCAAGCTGCTTTCGATGCAGTCCAAGCCCACCCAGGCATGCACTAAACTCGAGTGTGTGCAGCTGTGCACTGCATAAATACGTTCCCGGGGCCACTGGACCCCGTTAATACTTCTACTGGAAAATAAGAATAAACGAAATCCTCACAAGGGAGGCTATTACAGTAAAATCGTTTCTTCTTTGTGTAATAATGTCCGTGCCACTGACCCTCATCACTGCTTGAAAGGGTGGCTAGAAGCCCTAAAGAAAAGAAGTGGAGGCTGAAAGGTAGGCTCGGTTTACGGCGAGCCCACCAGGACTGGTTTCTTAGGCTTGATTGACCTCGGAACAGAAATCTGGAAACGTGATGCCCAAGGTTTGTGTGTGATAGACAGACGGTGATGCAGGCTAGGCTGAGCTGGGTGCCCGGTGTGTAGCACAGGTACCTGGCCCACAGTGTGAAAACTGGACTCTTAGTCCTCAGGTTAGCAAAGCCAACAGGAAACCTAGAAGGCAGGGTCCTAGCTATCTCTGATAGAGACGGGGCCCAATAGGGCACCGCCCCATCTCTGTTCCTAATCTCCTAATCAGAATTGCGTCCCTTGCACTGGCAGATCTTTCTACTTAGTGTAAGGATGCCAAGGATGAAGGAAGGGAAAGGAAAGGAGCCTGTAGGGCTCCTCAGAATTGATCGATCCCTGATGCCTGGGCTGCATCGTCACTTCCCATAACTATTGGATACACCGTCTAGTAAAACATCCAAGACATGGTCCGGGAGCAGGATTCTGGGGACCTGGGAGCAGTCCTTGCTAACCGAATTGGTTTGGACTCAGAACTGGTATCCGCTTGCTCCAGGCCGGAGGATACAGATGGACCAGCTTTTCCCAGGGGACTGGGTGGGGCAGGCTCCGGGCCACGGAAGCGATAACCAGCCTGCAGCGAAACCCTGAGAAGGGGCTGGAGAAACCAGCTCGACGCAGGAACGCTCCCCAAGCCCGCGTCGCGGCCAGCCTCCCGGCCTTGCACTTCCTTCCAAGCCCAACAGGGCGGCGAAACTCCGGGGACCCCAGCCGAATTCCTCCGGGAGGCGACATTAGGGCGGGCAGCCCCAGGCACCAAGCCAAACCCAATCTGGGCTCAAAATGACCCCCGTTTTGCCCCCGCCCGGGGAACCGCACTGGATGCGGAGCACATGGTACTGAGGGCCCCGGGCCCGGGCTCCTCGTCGGCATCCCCGCCAAAAGGCCAAGGAAGTCAGGAATTCAGTGCCGCGTCATCCCCGAAGGCCACAGCCACGACGTGGCCTCTACTTGCCCCTCCGGCCGCCCACAAAACTGGGTGCTAGCACTGCTGGACCACGGGCGCCCGTTCCACCTTCTCCCCGGCCCCCCACTGGCTCCGCCCGGCCCCGCCCCGCACTCACCTGCGCCGGCTCCGGGCTGGGCGCACCGCCGCCTCCCTGCTCCGCTCCCAGTCCACACCCGAGGAACTAGGCAAAAAAAGGGCCCTCGTTTAGAGCGAGCCCAAAGGACGGAACTTAAGGCGCGCCCAGGTTGAGCCGAGGGCGGCGCCCCAAATCTCCAGGACCCTGGCGGGAGGAGGCGGCGCCGGAGCGCGGAGCCCAGCGGGGGAACAAAGAGGAGCCGGGATGGGGCCGCGCGCTTCCTGGGTGTCGGGTGACAGGTCTGCAGGAGAAGGCCCCAGCCGAGCCACCTGAGGAGGAGCCTCTTCCACGCAGCAGGCGGGGTAGGGCCGGATGGCCACCGGGCCCCAGAGGCAGATGAACGGGGTGCACCAGGTGTGACGACCGTGTTCGAGGAAGAAGGCTGGCGGGTTCCGGCGCCGAGACCCGGGGGCTCGACGGAGTGCAGAGATAATGACTCCGGGAGGGTTTTACCGCCCCCAGCGCCCCGCCCGCCCCCCGCGCCGCGCCATTGGCTCAGGTGCAGTGAGGCGGGGGAGGGACGGGAGGCGGACCGAAGATGATTCACCTTGAATGTTGCTCCGGTTGGTGCGCGTCGTAGGGCACGCCCGACCCGGACTGCGGATACGTCGGGAGCCCCGCCTGTTCGCCCAACCCAGCTGGGTTTGACCCCCAAGGGGTCCCGCTGCCCACTTTCTGTTCTAGCCTCCTACCTTTGGGCTGGGGTGCCGCCGGCCGAAGTGCGCCCCGATGCCCTGCCATCCCACCTCCCTTGGAACCCCTTGCTAGCCAAGGTGTGTGTAGTACAGCAAACTTGGAAATCCGACTCTGGCCTGGGGGAGGGGAAGTGCGTTTGGAGGCCAGGAGTTCTGTGGGACCACACTGGACGGTTCTCTGCAGTCTCCCCGGAGAACTGGCCACAGTCGGTTCCGCCTCGGTGGGAGCACCCCGGCCCGAGGGTGCAGAGTTGGAGTGGGCACCAGAGGCTCGCCACTCGTCCTAACCCACCTTTGCCTAGCCCTGAAGCCTCACAGGTGTCTGCCCGCCGCCGCCACAGGGAACAAAGACCGCCTGTCCCGGAAGGGGGAGGGGAAGGGAAGCCGCCCCCAGACCCCTTCCCATCTCCCTTCCCCTCCACTGCCGCAGTGGCTCCCCCGGGAGGGGGCGGGGCCATCTGGGGCGAGGACCGGGATTAGATCCCTCGGAACCTCTTTAGCTAGGATGCCACCCCCGGAGCCTTTGGGGAGGGGCAGAGTTAAGGTACACCCTAGCTGTCCGGGTTGAAGTGGCCTCTTCCTTCTTCCCCAGCATCCTGAGACCCGAGAGTGCCCTCATCCCCCTCCCCTGCTTTGGGCGCCCTCCCATTCCCTGCCGCGCCCGGCTGCCCCAGACTGCAACCACAGTTCAAAACCAGATTAAAATAAAACGTTAATCCGCCTTCCTCCCTTTTAGCTCCTAGTTCTCCCAATGAATCCGGGCAGGTCTGACCGCCTAGAAGCCTCTAAAACCGGGGGTGGGGGTGGGGTGGGGCTTAGCTGATGTTTCCCCACAAAACTAAAGGGCCCTTGCGCCGAGATTGAAAACCTTGCGCTCTAGCGAAGGAAATGGATTAGGGGAACCGAGCCTCTACATTTCTCCCTCCCCTGCTGTTTGCCTGGGTCCGAGAATGACGCTGCAGATACGAACCCGTCTATATACTCAGCTCCCGGGCAAGACCTGCTTCAGCCATCGATGTTGCAGACAGATGGCTCCGGAGGCAAGACCCACCCTAAGGCGGGAAGGCCGAGACCCGCTTGTCCCTCTCCCAGCACGGTCGGGGATGGGACGTGATGCACCAGAACCGAACGGGAGGAGCACGGCACGACCCGACAGACCTCAGGGGGGTGTGGTGACTCCACATTAACCCTCCCTGTCCCGCCTCCTTCCCTTCCATCCCTGTGACCCTGAACCTCGCTGCCGGCCAGCATCTCCACTCATGCCCTACCTGGTCCCTAGGCCTGCCCGGCACCAGGCGGTCACAGCGCTGTGTGCCCGGACGCGCAGGCCACACCGGCTGCGAGTGTCCCCCTTCGTCCTGCCGCGCCCCTTTATAGCGTACGCCCCGCCCCCCGCGCCTCGCCTGGGCCCATTCACCTGCTGTCGAGAACCAGACACCGCAGAACGGAAAGCTAGCCGCTCGGCTGCGGGGTCCCGCCGTCGGGACTCGAAGGGCGGGGGCGCGGGTGAGATGGATCCGGTTTCTACCTTTCTTAAATGCTCTGTTGAAAGTCGAGACAGGCCCCGCCCAAGAGCCAGCGTCGCTTGCTGCCCCCGCAGCTCCCTTCTCACCCCGAGACCCCCCAGCCTCACTCTAGGAGGGGCCGTGAAATTGCACCCGCAAGGTCCTCATACATATTTTAGGTAGCAGGCTCGGCCAGTAACTGGAGCTGGACCGGAGTGCTGAGGGGGCGGTCCCCAGGGACCCGATATCCCAGATCGCTTACAGCGGGCTCTGGTCGGAGAAGAGCTCGGACGAACCCAGGTCCTCACTTTGCTGGCCCGCCTAGTGTACCCACGGCTGCATGCAAGTATCCTACCCTTCCTCCAGCAGATCCAACGTCTGCCCACGAGCTGCGGCAGTCCCCACCTGCAGAGATCCCTCCCTTTCAGCGACCAGGGACCCAGTCTGTTAGAGACATGTAATTTTGTTTCCTGACCCTCGATCACGGTTTAAGAAGGGCTTTACTTACCCCCACCTACAAGATCTTGTGCTTTTAGGCTCTTGAACCTCACCTCACCTAGTCCCTAAGCTAGTAGGGATACTGAGGGTCCAGCAGGCCCTGTGCCAGGGCGCGCAGACTTGGCGCTCCGGGTATCTCTCAGCACGTCCACTATTCTTTCCCAACTGCTGCTCCATGCAATTTACCTAATTCCAACCCCTCACTCCCCCCGCCCGTGATGCCCCCCGTTGTGCCGAAAATGCTGAGTGAAGAGTTAATCCTCAGGTCCCATCTCCCTTTCCATTAATACCCATCAGCCTCGGGGATGGGGCTGCTGTGTGGGCTACAAGCCCTCAACCAAGCCGCTGGAGGTAGTTCCACCTACTTCTTGGCCTCTTAGGAATAGTGGGGGCCTCGAGCTTTCAGTTCGGTCCTGTGTTCCGACTGTAGGTTTTTTTTTGTTTTTGTTTTTGCTTTTGTTTTGGTTTTTTTTATTGTTGTTTTGTTTTTATGTCTTTCTGGACTGTTCAAAGAGGCTGTGTTCTGCTTATCATATGAAGAACGCACCGTTTCCAGATTCCCTTCACCTCTGTGAGCTTTGGTTTTCCCACTTGCAAAAATGGATAGTATTTTTGGATAACCCTGAACCCTGGTTCAGCCAGGATATCTCAGACTCAAACCCCTTAGAAATCTCTCTCCCCTTTTACAACCAACGCGACCATTCATGCGGATGTGGGCTTATTGTGTTGTCCTAGTACCAGCCTCAGCTCTAAGGGTGGGGCTTTGCAATAGACTCAAGATGTTTATGGATGGACTCTCAAAGGGCTGTTCAAAACCCAAGTCACTTGCTGCCTCCGAGGGCTGTGTTTGTGCCTCTGAGCGTTTCTCTCCAAGAGGCTGCAAAATCCTGTACGAGTCTGGAGCTCAGGAGAAACACTCCAGCTGCGGAAAGCAGAGGTGCCCTGCCGGAAAGAATGAAACACGCCCACAGATGGAAGGAGATCTTCATAGGAATCCACTTAGCTCTCAAAAGAACCAGAAGCCGGGCTGGAGGCGCACACCTGTAGACTCTGCCTCAGGGCGGCTGCAGCAAGAGGATCCCAGGTTAAGGCCAGCCTGGAATGCATATCGAGTTCCTGTTGCCCGATAAATTAACTAATTAGAGCATTCATTTAAATCAGCTAAATAAAATAGATATGTGGCCGTATCTTGAGAATTATCTGGGCATTCAGTGAAAAAAATGCAAAGGACACAGCAGTTCCTCTTTGTGAAAAAAAATTATGAACGGGGTGAGGTGTTTTAACGTCACCTTTTTATGTTTTAAAGAAAATCGTAGAATTTTAACGTTTTTCCTTGTTTTTGATTTGTCTTGTCTTCCAGACTGTGCCAAGCGAATTGCGATGCTTACCAATGACCTTTTAATTACAAAGGGAACTCAAAAGGTTTAAAAAAAAAAACCCAACCTGTTTTGCAGTGTTGGAGGAGTAGCACCCGAGAGTCCAGTTGCAGACCACCGTACTGAGGCTGCGGTAGCTCTCTCAACAGTTACCGTTCCGGAACCATCGCCCCGTACAAGGGGTGGGGGATGGGAGAGAAGCTGGGGAACCTCGTGGCTTCGTAGCTCGGGTCTCTCTCCTCCATCTGGAGACTGCTGCTCCATCTTCTCTTTATAGAATTTTGAGCATCATTTCCAAAGAATTTCTAACCAGAGTCAGCACAGACCAAGGCCGGCGAGGAGAAATGACCGCCTTTAGCCGGTTGTCTTCTCGGTAAAATAGACTGGAAAACCTCCGTACCTGTTTCCGAAATGGGGAGGGTGCACAACTGAAGGTGCTTGGCCCTGCAGAGGGCATCTCACTACGTTGCTCAGCTGGGGTTGGGGCTCACACACACACATACACACACTTACACCCGGAAAGGATCTACGTGACTGACACCTTCCCCGCCCCCACTCTCTCCCCGCGACCCTTCAGCATCCGTTGCACCTAGAGAAGGGAAGCATACCGGCCATAAATCAAGTTCAGAGTTCCCGGGTCCAAGGCTCAGAACCCTTGAGTCAGTTAATGCTTGCAGTTCTTGGGGGATTGGCCCCCCCCTGAAGCCCTCAACAGATTATCCAAAGGTCGATGACCTAGATAATATTTTGGCTCTGTTCCAGGTTTCACTCCCTAAAGCCAAAGCGGAATTTTGGTTTTGTTTCTGGGTTTTGTTTGTTTGTTTTGTTTTTCGAGACAAGATTTCTCTGTGTTGTATCCTTGGTTGTCCTGGAACTTGCTCTGCAGACTAGGCTGGCCTCGAACTCACGAGAGATCCGCCTGCCTCTGACTGCTGCAGGTATCGAAAGCACAGTTTAATTGAGCTAAATAATTTGCCCCCAAAGCATGCAAATGCATTTTTTTCATATTGAGACCTTTAGAAGAGTTAGCTCTTAAATGTCCTGAATTAAAAACAATAATCTGCAGTATTTATGAATCAGTTAACATATATTTGGGCACGACATGCTGGCACATACCTATTAAAATCACAGCGCTTGGGAAGCAGAGGCAGAAGGATCACCACAAATACCAGGCCTACCAGGAACTCTTTTGAGGCACTGAACCTTCCCCCACTCCGAGGGTGGGGGGG